AGCGCGCTACCGATTGAGCCACATCCCCAGCCAACAAATTATTTTCTACCTTCTATTTTCAGTCTTTCAGCCAGTTCTCTACATTGAGTATACTTCTTCAAGGATTCTGGAACAGCCTTAGCTAGTAATTCCATGTCAACTTCCTCATATTTTAGAACATCTAGAGCTCTGCAAATATACAAAAAGATCATTAACATAAGTATCTATTATAAGAACAAGATTCCTTGCAATAATACCAAATCTCAGAATAACCAAAAAATACCTTAATTCTTTCTATGTACATTGAGCAAACACAGCACTATCTGTAGAACAATATAACTTCAGTAGGATTTACTATTTGATTTGCCTTAAATCCTTATCATGAGAATTAAGATGTTGATAAGAGTAGCATGGTTATAATTCATTTGTCCTTCCTTTTGTGTAATAACAGAATATCTTCTAATAACAAGGGTTTCAAGAATTCTAAAGAATAAGGAAAGTGCTTCACATCTAAGCTATGCTAAGTCCTAGTATCCTGTGAGTTATCTTTTTGCATGCTGGGAAGCACAAAGAAAATCTTCTGCCTTTTTTTTGTGTGGTGCTGGGTATCGAACCCAGGGCCTTATGCATGTGAGGCAAGCACTCTACCAATTGAGCTTCACCCCCAACCATGCCTCCCACTTTTTTTGGGTACTGGGGATCAAACTTAGGGGCACTTGACCATAGAGCCACCTCCCCAGCCCTATTTTGTATTTAGAGACAGGGTCTGACTGAGTTGCTTAGTGCCTCGCCATTGCTGAGGCTGGCTTTGAACTCTTTGAACAGATTCTCCTTTATCAGCTTCTCTAGCCGCAGGGATTATAGGCGTGCACCACAGAGCCCAGCTCCTGCTTCTTGACAAAACTCCTTAAGGAAGAACAAGAAGACACTGTATGTTTAAATCTCTGCAAAACAAACGGACAAAAATGATATAAGAGTTTAAAAAGTATTCTTCTAATCTGATATTTTCTTCTAATTAGTTTACACACATGACCAAAACAATATGCCTAAACACTAATGCTACAGGTAGATCAGGTGAGATTTCCATTAACTTGATTTACTAGCACTTGCTGATATCAAATTAGTGAGAGAAAGTTCAGGTGCATTTAGTCATGAGAAATACTGATGCTTCTCTGGTCAGTTTAATCACCTTTATACTGATCTTGGGCCTTCCCTTTTGGTATCACCCACCTTTAACTCTAATTTGACTCCAGATACTACCCCAAGGTGGAGCTAACTAGATCACTTCTTGCTCTATTATTTTCTTACTTCATTTACATGTAGCCTTTTTTTGGTTATAATTTGATTAAAAAGTTAAGGCCAATGGCATTTTTTTTTTTTTTTTACAAAAATAGAACTTTTCTTTTTTCTTTTTTGGTGCACAATTTTTTTGATATGTTTTTGTATCCGATTCGCCAGAATTTTATTGAGGATTTTTGCATCTAGGTTCATTAGAGATATTGGTCTGTAGTTTTCTTTCTTTGAAATATCTTTGTCTGGTTTAGGAATCAGGGTGATGTTGGCCTCGTAGAATGAATTTGGAAGTTCTCCTTCTTTTTCTATTTCCTGGAATAGCTTGAAAAGTATTGGTATTAGTTCTTCTTTAAAGGTTTTGTAAAACTCTGCTGTATACCCATCCAGTCCTGGGCTTTTCTTAGTTGGTAGTCTTTTGATGGCTTCTTCTATTTCCTCAATTGATATTGGTCTGTTTAGGTTGTCTATATCCTCCTGACTCAATCTGGGTAGATCATATGACTTAAGAAATTTATCGATGCCTTCACTGTCTTCTATTTTATTGGAGTATAAGGATTCAAAATAATTTCTAATTATCTTTTGTATTTCTGAAGTGTCTGTTGTGATATTGCCTTTTTCATCCCGTATGCTAGTAATTTGAGTTCTCTCTCTTCTTCTCTTCGTTAGCATGGCTAAGGGTCTGTCGATCTTATTTATTTTTTCGAAGAACCAACTTTTAGTTTTGTCAATTTTTTCAACTGTTTCGATTTCATTAATTTCAGCTCTGATTTTAATTATTTCTTGCCTTCTACTTCTTTTGCTGTTGTTTTGCTCTTCTTTTTCTAGGATTTTGAGATGAAGTGTGAGATCATTTATTTGTTGGTTTTTCCTTTTTTTTAAGGAATGAACTCCAGGCAATGAATTTTCCTCTTAGAACTGCTTTCATTGTGTCCCACAGATCTGATATGTTGTGTCTGTGTTTTCACTTATCTCTAACAATTTTTTAATTTCCTCCTTGATGTATTCTATGACCCATTGATCATTCAGTAACCTACTGTTCATTCTCCAAGTGATGCATGATTTTTCCTTCCTTCTTTTATCGTTGATTTCCAGTTTCATTCCATTATGATCAGATAAGATGCATAGTATTATCTCTACTCCTTTATAATGTCTAAGAGTTGCCTTGTGACATAATATATGATCTATTTTTGAGAAGGATCCATGTGCTGCTGAGAAAAAAGTGTAATTGCTTGATGTTGGGTGGTATATTCTATATATGTCAATTAAGTCTAGGTTATTAATTGTGTTGAGTTCTATAGTTTCCTTATTCAACTTTTGTTTGGAAGATCTGTCCAGTGGTGAGAGAGGTGTGTTGGAGTCTCCCATAATTATTGTATGGTGATCTATTAGACTCTGGAACTTGAGAAGAGTTTGTTTGATGAACATAGCTGCACCATTGTTTGGAGCATATATATTTATGATTGCTAGGTCTTGTTGGTGTATGGTTCCCTTGAGCAGTATGTAGTGTCCCTCTTGATCCCTTTTGATTAACTCTGGCTTGAAATCTATTTTATTTGATATGAGTATGGACACTCCTGCTTGTTTCCGAAGTCCATATGAATGATATGATTTTTCCCAACCTTTCACCTTCAGTCTATGAATGTCTTTTCCTACCAAATTCGTCTCTTGTAGGCAGCATATTGTTGGATCCCAGGGGTACTTAACCACTGAGCCACATTCCTAGCCCTTTTTTTTTTTTTTTTTAAAGAGATGTCTTGCTAAGTTATTTAGGGCCTTGCTAAGTTGCTAAGACTGACTCTGAACTTGTGATTCTCCTGCCTCAGCCTCCCAAGCTGCTGGTATAACACGTGCATGCCACTGTGCCTAGCAGAAAAAGAACTTTCAAGTTAAAATTTATATGGAATCTCAAGGGCCCACATAATCAAAATAATTTTGAAAAAAGAACATGGTTGAAGGACTCATACTTTCTAATGTCAAAACATATTATAAAAGGACAGTAATCAAAACATTGTGGTACTGGTGCCAGGCATGGTGGAAACCACGTATAATCCTAGCAACTTGGGAAACTGAGGCCGGAAAACTGAAAAGTTCAAGACACCTTGAGCAATTTAGTGAGACTCTTAGCAACTTTATGATATCCTGACTCAAAAAAGAAAAATAAAGTTCTGGAAACCTGTTGAACAACAATGTGAATATAGTTAACACAATTGTTCTGCACACTTAAGGATTGGGCATGTGGTTCAGTGATAAGGCACCTTTGGGTTCAATCCCTGGTACCACACACAAAAAAAGAAGGTATACTTTGTTTTTTGCCAAAATAGAATAAAATAAAATAAAAGGTTGACTAAGAGTGGTACATAATAAGTTCAACGTTTGCCAAGACTTTCGTTCTATTTGGTTGAGCCCTGACAATTACCCTTGGCTTACCTCATTCCTATGGTCTCAAGATTGCAGAATATCCTAATTTTGTTTGGTTCTCCACAGGCTTCACTGACCTATATAGTTCCCATGAATTTATTGCCTTAATTCATTTTATATATGTTTACCAATTTTGGTATTTTTATCTCTTTTAAAAAACTATTATTTGATAAATTTTGTCCACCCATAACCAATTAAATTAATTACAAAGTCAAAAGAATGTCAATACTGCCCTCCCAAGTCTTCCTAGGCCTTCTATCCAACCATACCTATAGACAAATCTATTATCACAATCATGTATTATTACCCTATGCAAATACTTGATTCCTCATCTATTTCTCAATTGGGTCTACTCTAAGAAGGTCTCAGAATTCTCTCACCACAGAAAATGGTCAGTTTTGTCGTACTCTAGTAGATGAAACAAGTCAACTCATTGCAGAGGCCTTATCAGATAAACTATAAACAAACCAACCATATAACTGAAAGCAGAAATGATTGTCTTTTCAGAAATTATAGAACATAGGGCTGGGGTTGTGGCTCAGTGGTAGAGCACTTGCCTAGCATATGTGAGGAATTGGGTTAGATTCTCAGCATCACATATAAATAAATAAATAAAGATCCATCAATAACTAATAAAAAATTAAAAACAGAAATTTGGAGCACTCTTCCTAATGAGTAAAAAAAAAAAAAAAAAAAAAAAAAAAAAAGGTATCTTGGAATCTATGCAGGATGAAGCCCAAAAGCAACATCTGCAATATCCTTGACAAATCTTTCATTTATTTATTTATTTTAAAAAATCTTTTTAGTTGTAGATGGACATAATACCTTTATTTTGTTTATTTTTATGTGGTGCTGAGGATTGAACCCAGTGCCTCACACATGCTAGGCAAGTGCTCTACCACTGAGCCACAATCCCAGCCCCAATAAATCCTTTTAAAAATAACACATTTACAAGATTTTAAACTAATCTCAATCCCAAACTTCAAGACCTGCTTTGAATCAAGTCTAAGCCTCGGATTCCAGAACTCTGGTACAGAAAGGATAAGTCAGCACACTGCAGAAGAATCTGAGAGAATTTTTGAGCTGCCTAACATAACGTACCTACAGTGTCAACAAAAAATGTGTATGTACATTTATGTACTTTTTCTGTTAAAAGGACTATTTGGAGTCTGGTTCAGTTTTTCTGTATTTAGCACAGAGTCTGACACATGTAGTAAATAAAAAAAAAATGCATTTTGAATAAATTTTCTATCTTTTTCAGTTTTATCTAAATATTGAGAAAGTGTGTCCATTTGGGGAGGCTGAATCCTAAACTATAAATATTCCCCAGAAATCAAATATGTGAAATATATCCTTCTGAAGGGAAAGATACCTGAGTTAAAAAAAGAAATCATTGGTTGAACTACTTAAAAAAAAAATCACTTAAACAAAATGGCTACTCACATTTTTAGTTTGTTAAACATACAAAGCTGATAGTTTCCTTTTGCATTTTTATTAATTAATTAGCATTTTAGACTGTGTTGAAAATGATCTCTTTCCCTATTCAGTATTCTTCAATTCACACTAATCACATTCAATCTAGGTTCCAATTATAAAATACTGAAATAGAGCAATAATTGATTTTAAAAAATGAAGTATGGTGTTAAAAATTCTTTGTCCAACTTTTCAAATAACTTAAAAAACTTAAAATTTGGGCTGGGGATGTGGCTCAAACGGTAGCGCGCTCGCCTGGCATGCGTGCGGCCCGGGTTCAATCCTCAGCACCACATACCAACAAAGATGTTTTGTCCGCCGAGAACTAAAAAATAAATATTAAAAATTCTCTCTCTCTCTTAAAAAAAAAAAAACACAGTTCTTCCCACAGATCTCCCAAAGACATATTAAAAAAAAAAAAAACTTAAAATTTAAACAAAAGATAAGTAGCTGAATACATTGTAAACTGCTCACACTATTACCATTTTCCAGAGCCACTAGCTAGTTCTATGGTTTAGATATGGTTTCAGTGTGTCCTCCAAAAATTCCTGTGCTGGAAGTTTGGTCCCTAGTGTTGCAGTGCTGTAGTGGTAAAACCTTTTTAAGAAGAGGAACTGAAGGAGAGGTAAAGAGGTCACTGGGAGTGTTGTCCTCAGAAGAGATTAATGCTGGTCTCATGAAACTCGTTCTCATAAGAGAGTTGTTAAGAATAAAGGTGGGTCCTGAAGCTCTGGCTTTCAGCTTTAATGTGTGATCTTAGCACATCCAATCATCAATGTGAAACCATATACTTCCATGACACCCTCACCATAGGCCAGAAAGATAGAGCTGCCCAATCTTTCAGCTTTCAAAATGGTGAAATAGATAAATCTCTTTTCTTATATAAAGTATCCTACATGAGGTATTTTATTATTGTACTAAAAACTGACTAATATAGTTGGTAAGCAAATATATTAACTGCTATAGCCTGAATGTTGATGTCTCCCACAAAATTTATACTTTGGAACCTAATATAATATAGTATCACCAATGTGATATTATTAAGAGCAGAGTCAGCCCTGATGAATGGGATCAGTGCCCTTACAAAAGAGGCATCAGGGAGCTTGTTTGTCCTTCTGCCACATGAGGATGCAGCAGAAAGGTGTCATTTTTTTTTCTCTTTCCACATATTTTATTGGTGCATTATAGTTGTACATAATGATGGAGTTTGCTGTTATATATTTGTATATACACACAATATAACAATATAATTTGGCCAATATCACTCCTTAGCACTTTCTCCTTCCTTTCCTGCCCCCAACCCCTTGGTCGCTTTCCTGTAGGGATCTCCCTTTGATTCTCATAAGATCCCTGCCCCCCACCTTTCATTTCTTTTTTCCTCTCTAGAGAAGATATCATTTTAGAAACAAGGAGCAAACCCTCACCAATATCAAATCTGATACCAAATACTGGAGTTACCAGCCTTTAGAACTGTGAACAATAAATTTGTTGTTTATAAGTTATTCAAAGATTTTTCTTTCCTTTTTTCCTGCAGTTCTAGGGTTCAAACCCAGGGCCTCATGCACAATAGATAAGAGCTCTACCACTGAGCTATACTCTAAGCTCTAAGTTTTCATTTTTTAATCAATTAATTAATTAATTATGGTGCCAGGGATTGAACCCAGGGGTGATTAACCACTGAACCATATCCCCAGCCCCTCCTACATTTTATTTTGACAGGGTCTCACTGAGTTATTTATGGCCTCACTAAATTGCTGAGGCTGGCTTTGAACTTGCAATCCTCCTGCCTCAACCTCCCAAGCCATTGGGATTACAGTCCTACACCACTGCACCAGCAAGATCTAATTTTTACAAAATCTGCTTAATATCTTATAATAGTGGAGCTAGTGCTCTGGGAAATTCCCATAAAAATGAAAGCTTGGGAACATAAGTTGGAAAAAATAAAACACCCTGATGAAATGTAAACTAAACAACAACCTATTTGTAAATAAGGAAAGAAAACTGGAAAGATTAGAGGTGATATAGAGCTGTGTTAAAATGGTATACCTTAAAGTTCACAAAAACTATCACAAGCAAACTTGGGGTTGAAAAGAGAAAAAATATACTGGAAACACAGATATAAGATAAATGCCAGGCTGGGGCTGTGGGCTCAGTGGTAGAGCACTTGTCTAGCATGTGTGAGGCACTGAGTTTGATTCTCAGCACCACATTAAATAAATAAATAAATAAAATTTTATTGTGTCGAACTATAATTAAAAAGATATAAAAAAAGATCAATGCCATTATGATTCTACAATGTGCTTCTAAATTAAAAAGACTGTTGATTTGTGGCCCTTTGGCATCTTTTCCCACGCTAATTATACTTTTTTTTCCCCCCAAAATGGGAAAAAAACCAATGATGAGATATACAGAGTATATATTATGTAAGGTCCTTAGGAATATATCTCTGAAACAAAAATGCTCAACACATGACCTTTAGACTCAGAGTCTATATAATTAGAAATACTGCAAGGGTCTTTTCACATCCAAATAATTTATAACACTCTAATTTGTTTTATTTTTTTAATTTAGAAATTTTCTTTGGTGGTGCTGGGGATTGAATCCAGGGCCTTGTGCATGCAAGGCAAGTACTCTACCCACTGAAATATATACCCCAGTCCCCTCTTATTTGTTTTATTAAAGTGGTTTTCTTGCTATAGCTCATGGATAATGTAAGGCCACTTCAATTGCTCCAAGCCTAGTGAATAAAGTTAAGTAATCATAATTTTTTCTTTGGTCCTCTAAATCTTAGGAAAATCAAAAGAATTCAATAGGGACCACAGAGAAATTATATACAAAACAGAAGAAATAATTTAGAAACTCATATATAAACATACATATATATATACACACACATATTTATTTTTTGGTGCTGGGAATAGAATCCAGATCCTTAGACATGCTAAGCATGTGTTCTAGTACCAAGTGACCCCTTTAGCCATATGTCTTTTTAATACTGACTAAATAGATGTTATATCTAAGGATTTTGAAAAAAAGTCACCAGCAAACTATATTCACTTAAAATGTACAAGTAGGATACCTGTAGGTAATATCTCTCTAAAATAATGACATTTTTCTGTAAAAAGTGGTGAGAGAGGTCTATATTAAAAATGCATACCTGGGGGCTGGGGATATAGCTCAGGTGGTAGAGTGCTTCCATTCATGCACAAGGCCCTAGGTTCAATCCCCAGCACCACAAAAGAAAAGAAAAAAAAAAAAAAGCATACCTGATGGGCAGACTTTTTACAATACTTATAGAAGCCTGTGGGATTAACTTTTTCCATTTGGAGCTTGAAAATTCAATGGATTTCAACACAGAAATGCCTTCTTTTAAAGATGACTTCATCCAGGAAGCTCTTTCATATCGTTGTTGGGACACACAGCCAGCTTCCTTATATCCTAGGGAGAAAGAGAGACTATAATGAGAGAGGTTTTAAAAAACAGTAAACTAGATTACAGTTCTTAGTGAAGAGTTACCTCGGAACGTAAGCCGACTGTCAGCATTATCAGGACGCAGTGATAAACGGAACTCCACTCGGCTGGTAAACATGCGGTACGGTTCACAAGTGCCCAGTGTGGTAAGGTCATCAATCAAAACTCCTATGTAGCCTTCTGTTCGGCTAATAATAAAGGGTGGTTTGCCACTGACTCGAAGACTGGCGTTGATTCCAGCTATCACACCCTACAAGAGGACTAAAATGTTTAAAAGGCCATTATGAACTGAATGAAGAGCTATCCTATTCAAAACAATACTTGGAAAGAGTAGTATGGGACAGGAAGAAAGCAGGCCCCTAAAGGATATATTAGAGGTACAAAATGTGATCCACATTTAGGAACAGAATATGTATAATGTACCATTTTAGAATGCCATGGTTATTGTTTTCAGAAATATCTAATACTTAATTATTTTTTTGATCCTGGGGATTGAACCCAGCGCCCTGTGCATATGAGGCAAGCACTCTACCAGCTGAGCTATATCCCCAACCCAGAAGTGCCTAATATTTCTGAAAAGCCTGGGGTGGGGGAGGGGCTACTCTTTTTTTTTTTAAACTCACCTGTGAGAACTTTTTAGCCTTTCTCACTTAAAAGTAACAATTTTCCACTAATAAGGAATAATAACAATTTTCAATAAAGTTATCTTAAAGGAACTAGATTTTCTTTTTTTTAAACTCTAGAAGCAATCTAATTCATCTAATCAAAACACATCAGATCTAAGAACTCAAAAAAGAATAATAACCCACAAGTGTTTTAAAAATCCTATCATATACAATAGCCATCTACGTGTAACCTGAAACAAAGATAGACTTCTATAATTATGAATTGTACCTAAGATTTATATAGTTAACATGACAAAGAGAAACACCAGTTAAATAGTCCCTTTGGGTTTCCAGTAACATCTGAATAAAGCTCTTACTTGAGCTGCAGCTTCCTCATAACCAGTGGTGCCATTTATCTGTCCAGCAAAGAAGAGCCGTTGAACCAAATGAGTCTCAAGGGAAGGAGTGATTTGACGAGGATCTAAGTAATCATACTGAACACCATACCCTGTTCAAAGAATAAATGGTATAAAATAAGTAAAAACAGATGAACTGCCCTCAAAGTAGAGATATAAAGATTACTATTAAATGTCCCTCAAAAACTAAAGACTACTTAACATCTGTACATGTTGCGCTTCATTCTCTGAAGCTCTAATTAACAATGAGAGCAGCAAAGACCTCCTCACTAATCACTAAAGCAATGCTGAGTAAACACTGAATGGTGGCTGTAGCCCTCTTACCTGGCTGAATCATTTTAGCTTTCTCTAGGCCTCTGATGCATGTAATCATTTTCTCTTGTAACTCAGCTGGTAGCGTCACAGATAAACCTTGAGGATAGATGAGGTCAGAATCCATTCCTTCAGGTTCTAACCAAACCTGATGCAGACGATTCGGAAAACGCAAAACCTTTGATTCAATGGAGGGACAGTATCTAGAAATTACATATATATATATATATATAATAAAATGAACATAAAAGTGGTGACATCATTCCTTAAAGTAATTGAGCACTGATTTTTTGTCCTTACCGGGGTCCTCTTGTAGTTTCCTTAACATGACTATTAAGGTGAAGGTTCTCAAGCACAATCTTATCCACTTTTGGGTTTGTGTGAGTCAAATAACATGGCAGCTGATCTTCTGGCTAAAAAACAATAATCAGAATACTGTTTTATTTCTCTACTAGTTTGCCTCTTATCCAAATAAATTCTACTTGATATTTACTCACTTTAAGCATTAAATTTATTAAATTTATGCATGATGACCAGTACTACTTATATAGTATTCTTGCCCAAAATAAATAAATAACCCAAAAGATAAACCGAAATCTAGGCAAACTTCTAGATCTAACTACCAGTTTATAGGAAAGACAGAAGCAGCAGAGGGATGCAATCAGATACATCAAGAAGATGGGAGCTTCTAGAGAGCAAATTTTCTCTGTACATAAATGTTATAAAGAAAACAGGGAGGGGCTGGGGCTGTAGCTCAGTGGTAAAGCACTTTCCTTGCATGTGTGAGCTGCTGGGTTCGATCCCCAGCACCACATAAAAATAAAGATACCATGTATTCATCTACAACTAAAAAAAAGAAAACAAGGAAGTAATTATAAAACATCCTAGGCTGGGGTTGTGGCTCAGTGGTACATTGCTTGCCTTGCACATGTGAAGCACTGGGTTTGATTCTCAGCACCACATAAAAATAAATAATACAATAAAGACTTTGGGTCCATCTATAACTAAAAAATTTTTTAAAAAATAAAATAAAACATCCTTCAATGCATGTGTGGACCTGGTTCAAATAAAATAACTGTAAAAATTATTTCAGAGGCTGGGTACAGTGGTACATGTTATAATCATACCAACTTGGGAGGCAGGAAGATCATTAGTTCGAGGCCAACCTGGGCAACTTAGTGATAACCTGTCTCAAAATTTAAAAAATAGCCAGGCATGGTGGAGCATGCCTGTAATCCCAGTGGCTGGGGAGGCTGATACAAGATGATTGCAAGTTCAAAGCCAGCCTCAGGAAAAGTAAGATGCTAAGCAACTCAGTGAGACCCTGTCTCTAAGTAAAATACAAAATAGAGCTGGGGGTGTGGCTCAGTGGCTGAGTATCCTACCCAAATTCAATCCCTGGCATCCCCCTACACCTCTCTCTTTTTTTTTTTAAATAAAAGGGGCTGGGGATACACATTCTAAGAAAGTATATATTGTACTTTACCAAAGCAAAAATATAAAAAGTGACTTGGTTAAAATAATAGAATATTTGAAGCCACTCATCAGGACATCACCAGAAACTGGGACAATCAATTGTTAATCCTCAATTCCAAACTCACAATATACACTTTGTAGGGGAGGCAGTACTAGGTATTGAACCTAGGGCCTACTATATGCTAAGCAAGAGCTCTTCCCCTGAGATACATTGCCATCCCTTTTAAAATATTTTTGCCACAGATGGTGGCACCTGGTTGTAATACCAGCAATCTGGGAGGCTGAGGCAGGGGGATCAAAAATTTGAGGCCATGTATAACTAATTAAAACAAATAAAAAATTTAAAAAAAGAAAGAAAAAGATGAGGCTGGGGATGTGACTCAAGTGGTAGCGTGCTTGCCTGGCATGCGTGAGGCCCGGGTTCGATCCTCAGCACCACATACAAACAAAAATGTTGTGTCCGTGGAAAACCAAAAATAAATATTAAAATTCTCTCTCTC